CAGCAGCCTAGTTTCGCCGGAGCGGGTGCCACATGGAGACAGGCTTCCTCAGCGTGGCCAGCATCTGGTTCCAGTGCGTGATGCCCATCCCGCTGGCCGCCGGGCCAATGAGGACATGGCCTGTGTTGTCGGCGCGGCCGTCCTCACCGCACTCAGCCACCGTCACCCGCAGGGACAGGTCCTGTGGGGCAGCACGAGGCCGTCACAGCAGTCCAGCACCGAGCGGTCGCTGCACCAACCCCCGCATAGATACAGGTCCCCGTTCCCTCCCCAGCCAGACACGCACGCAAACGCTCCCCCCAGTACTAACCCACGCATACACATCCCGTATGACCCCCACCCCATAAATACACGCCCACCAAAATAGCTATAACCCAAGTATACGCACCCCTCTGTACCATCCCCCCACACCTGAGAACTGTGCATGCTCATCCCCGCACACACCCACACCCTGTGTATATACATCCTCCTATACCCTCCCACCACACTCCGACATCCCCTAAACCCAAACATGCGCCCATCCACCTACACAACCATACCCTACACATCCCCATCCCCCTGTGTCCCCATCCCACACACACACGTGGCCTCCCGCAACAGCCATACCACATAAATACATATCCCCCATAAATACACATCCCCCTACACCCCCTACCCTATGCATACATGCCCCCAAACCATATATGCATATACATGGCCCCCACCCCACCGCTCCTGCGATGCCCCCAGAGCCCCGCACACCCCTGGAAGCCCTCACTAGCACAGGTGTTTGGGGACCTTGAGGAGTGATGGGACGTGCCCCCCAGCCTAGAATGTGTTCCCTGAGCCAGGACAGACCTGGAGCACGATGGCCGGCACCGAGAAAATCATGGCCTCGTTGAACACGGGGTTGGCGTCGTCCCTCTTCACCGCTGTCTTCTTCTTGCTGATCTTCCTCCCATCCTGCAGCAGGTACACCTTGATGAAGGGATCTGCTTGGGGTGGTGGGAGAGAAAAACCCCACGGTCAGTCATGCATTTCCCCTGCAATATGGAGAAGGTGGGGGAAACCATCTCTGGAGGACCTTCCTGGTAGGGTCAGTCCTCAAGTGGGAGGACCGTGTGATGTAGTAGGATAAACGAGGACAAAAGGCCACCTCCAGCCCACGGAAGGCCAAAGGACCCCTGTGCCCAGCAGGCACCCCCTGCTCACCTGCGGTCACTTTGCCATTGGTCCACACAAGGTTCTTGGCTTTGACCACCACCACCGTCAGGCGCTCAGCTGTGGGCAGGTAGCTCAGGGAGAGCAGGATCTCCCCTACCGTGTCCACCGCCTGCAGGACACAGAGAGCTGTCACCCATCAACCCCAGCCCCCGAGGAGGAGAAAGCCCCCAAAATCCTGGGCGGGGATAGAGCAGACCCCCACGCACTCACCTTGTTCATGTCCTGCAGGTAGAGCCAGGCGCTGAAGGGACGCATGGCCAGGTCTAGGTCAGAGAGCTTGAGCTCGGCCACGCCAGTGCTGACGTTCCTCTCGTCCTCGTCGATGCCAAAGACGGAGAAGCGCAGGCTGTTCTCCTCCAGCGCCGACGGGTCCAGCGGGATGGAGAAGTGCTCGTCAAAGGCCACGGCGTAGGCGCTCCGCTGGATCTGCCGCAGGGAATGGGGGGTTGCTGTGGTACCCACTGGGTTTTGGGGCCGCAGCCGAGGTCTGCCCCGTTTCCCTTGTGGGAACTGCGAGGAGCGTGTGGCTTTGGGACGGTGAGGGCAGGGCATCCCCCAGGACGGGGACAAAAGTTATTTCCCAGCTGACCACAGCGGCTGCGCAGTGACTGGGGTAGACAACAGGGGCTGTGACCTGCCCCGTTGCCCACTAATTCTTTTCATACAGATCTGAGGTTGGTGTGGTGCTCTCAGCTGCGAGAGCCAGGCATCCCTGTGCACCAGGAGCTCAGCCCTCCAGGCTACGGGACGTGGCCAAGGGGGTGCAACCCCCAGCCCGAGGGGCTTCGCAGCCCCTGAATGTGCCAAACGGGGACGATGCTTTTTGGAAGTCATCATCTTTACGCCACGCCATTCACTTGGAGCGAAGGCAGCAGCAGCTCCCCAGGGCCCCGTCCTGCAGGGTGCTGGTCGCTACCTGGTCCCAAAGTGCTGGTGGGGGGAACTGCGCTGAAATCACGGCTTTAGAGACTGGTTTTTCCCCTACTGCAGCCCTATTTCTTTCGGCATCCAAGGTACCGCCCACAAACCAGGGTTTTGTCCTAAAAGGAGGCCCGGTGCTCCCACGGGATGAAAAGCCGCAGCCTTGGACGGCTCCCCACCACCCATCCGAACCTGGTGCTGTGGGGAGAAAGGGATCCCACTGCAGGATCAGGGGGCTCAGCCCCGAACCCCCCAGGCTGCATCACCCCTAAAGCCGCCCGGGCTCCCCAGCAATGGCAGGGAGATGGCTCATCTCATCCCGAGGACTTCCTCGTGTCCATCTGTCTGCTCCCATCCCTGGGCTGAGGGACCAGGGGCCCGGGCAATTAGGGAGCCTCGCCGGGCAAAGCGGGTTTGCAGCTGTCTGCTCTGCAGCGCTGATGACCAGCTGTCTGCAGCCGGCGCTGTATTTTGGGATCTCTGGATGAAAGGTACAGCAGAGATGTTAGCTGCTATTTAAAAAAAAAACCACAAGTACTGTAAAGCATTAAAGCACCGAATATGTCTTAATGACTTGTCTCAGGACAGCAAAAGAGGGTAAATAGTGCTGGTGAATTATAAATAACGATGCTAAATAATAAATCTCTCCAGAGCATAAATAAAGAGCTGGATCTTTGGATAGAAAAACAGTCTTAAAAGGGTGCTGTGGAAATATTTTAAAGGCAGGGGTTTTGTGCTCGCTGGAAGGGTACTTCCCCTCCGTGGAAAGGTTTCTTTGGCGGGATGAAGCTCTCTGCTCCTTTCTGGAATATCCTGATTAAATCAAACTGGCTGACCCTGAGCTTTGCAAAAAGCAGCTGCTGAAAGAAAACAGCCTCCTGCTTTCCAAGATCAGCTTTTGGGGCACTTAAAAAGGGAGGTTTTGCCCCAAAACCACTCCTGGTTCTGGCCTTGCCAGTGCAGCCACCTGGATCTTCGGCCACAGCATCGTGTGTGGGAGGGACGGACAGCATTGCGGCTGCCGCGGGCACCGCGCTCGGGCTTCGCTGGGGCAAACCCAGCGTGTGGGGACTCAGCACAACGCCAGCAGCGCATGCCCAAACGCTGCCTCTCCCCAAATCCCCCCAGACCGTTTCCTGCACCCTCCGCAGCACCCCCGGCCCCCGGAGCTGGGAAAGTCGAGCAGGAAAACTTGCCGCAAGCTGCGCTCAGAGACGGCAAAGCCATCGCACGTCCCGGTAAATAGAGAGGAATTTCTGCCTCTGCTGGGTCTCTGATGCTCAAACCCACCCGGGACCCCCCTACACCACAGAACACTGAACCCCCCCGGAGCAGGACTCCAAAAATCCTGTGCCATCCGCACCCAGCCCCAACGTCCCTGGACCTCCCTGCTCCCAGGCACCCGTCGCTGCCTGGGGGAGCTCGGCCGAAGGACTCTGCGACCCAAAAGCGAAGGCTGCAGCGAGCACGTGGCAAGCGATGCCACGCACACCTGGGGGGTTCGTGCAAGGGGGGGCAAGCGGCTCACCCGGGAGATGCCGACGATCTGCTCAGGCGGGAGCAGGCTGATGCGCATGAAGCAGGACTCGAAGCGAGCGTCCTCCTTCTCCAGCAGGTCCTTGCCCTGCAGCAGCGTCACGTGCAAGGTGGCTGCCTTCCCGTCATACTCCATGGACACCTCCACCTGCCCCACCGTGAAATCCTGCCCAAAGTTGTTCCCAATGGAGGAGATGGAGCTGAGCGAGTCGGCCGAGATGGATTTCTTCAAGGGGCCATAGGGGGCCAAGCCCAGGTCTCTGCTCATCAGCTCCAGGCTCCCCAGCTCGCTGATGCTCTCGAAGGTATCGTCTGTCCGCAGGCTGCTCTTGCGGACGGGCGACGTCTTATCCAGCACCCTCTGCGAGCCCGGGGCCATCCCTCGCTGCCAACAGGGAAAGGAAAACCAGGCGATGCGACCCCGTCCCTCCGTACAACACCGGGGACAGCTTGGATTCCCCAGCGCTTTCTGGATGCCCTACAGCCCCTGCTCGGTCTCAAGCTGCCGGAGCAGCAAACCCC